GTGTCGTGCCCGGATTTGCACCCAGGGTGGCTCCCGGGGTCTCTGCCCCGGGCCGCCCAGCGCTCACCCCTGCCTGGCACGCAGTAGGGCCACACGCCTCTGAGGTGGGTGTTACTACAGCTCGGGACCCACCCATTTCACAGATGAGGAAACTGAGGCGCCAGGGAGAGACTGGAACTCGGCCCTGGTTGCCTCCATCCTTTTCCAGCTATCCCTGTTCTCTCTCAGGCCACCCGCCAGGTCTCACCTCGTTGTCACCGTCGCTGGAGCCGGACAGCTGGGACAGGCGGCTCAGGTCCCACAGGGAGTGGCTGGGCCGGGCGGGGGGGCCGCTGGGGGTCCGGGCGCGCTGGACACTCCTCAGGATGTCGCTCAGCGCCGGCCCTGGGGCGGCCGGGGTCTCCTGCCTGTCCCCGTCAAAGACTCGGCAGGCGGCCAAGCGTTGGGCCAGCGGGCCATCGGGCGGTGGCGGTGACACGGGGGCCACAGAGCGGCGGCGGGCCACACGGTGGGGGTTGTGGGCCAGCTGCAGCCCCCCCATGATGCTGACGAAGGGGCCCGAGGTGGGCGCGGACGGGAGTGGCCAGGAGGCCGCATACAGTGTCCGGAACTCTCGGCTGAAGGCGGCAGCAATCTCGCCGGTCAACAGGGTCACCAGGCCTCGGTGCAGGCGGGAGTCGCTCCATGTGAAGCTGGGGGGCACGCAGGGAGGGGTCAGGCTCTCCGTGCAGCCCCGCGGGCCCCGCCCGGACTCCATTACCAGTCCCCACCTGGTCCCAGGGCAGGCTGTGTGACCTCAGGCAAATCCTGCAACCTCTCTGGCCTCGACATCCCCCTCCGTAGAATGGGAACGACTCACGTACCTACCCAGAGGGCTGACGTGACCGCTACGTGAGTTAAGACACTTAAATTTATCTTAAGGGACTCTGCCCCCTCCCCAACCAAGGCTGCATCAGTGCCTCGGTTTCCCCATCCGGAAAGAGATGGGATGTGTTTTCGGACTCCACAAGTCCTGTCGTCGGGCTCGGCTGCTTCCCATATAATGACCGCCATTTGTCAAGCACTTGTTGTGTGGCCGCTCCGTGCCTCTGTCTGCTCGTCTGTCATACGGAGCTCGAATGTAGGGAGACTGGAACGAGGGAACAGGGCGTTGAGCCCCGGGCACGGTGGCCAGCTCTAAAAGCCTGCTGGCTGTGGTCAGCGGTGTCCCCATCGCCCCTGTTGTCACGATGGTGGCGTTTAAAGCATCTGGCTCAGGCCTTGGCGCATAGCAGGTGCTCAGTAAATGCCCTCTTTGGAATCACACGAACCTGGGCTGCAATCCTGGCCCAGGGGACCTTGGACACGTCGCTTTCCCTTCCTGAGCCTTGGTTTGCCCATCTGGAAAGTGGGCTCACTGCGGGCTGTGTCTCGTGCGCCTCAGCGGGCACAGCACCCAGCGCCCAGAGAGCGACGACTCAGCCCCCAGGATGGCGAGCGTGGGTCCGATCGTCCTTACCTTGGCAGGGTGGCAGTGTCCTCCCTTGCTCCCTGGCAGGTCAGGGGGCCGTCCTGCCCTCAGATTGTGACACCCCTCCCCCCACCTGTGACCTCACCCCTGGAGCGGCCAGTGGGAACCCTGAGGGGTCTGTGAGGTCACCCCATTCCGCTGCACAGAGACGCCCGTCGGATCGCGCCTGCTGGCTTGTCTCCGTCCCGGGGATCTTCTGAGACCCAAGCGCTCGAGAGCCGTGGTCACGACGGAGCTCCTGAGACGGACACGGAGCGTTGGGAACCGAGGACACTCCAAGTGCTGACCCCGGGAGGCCAGCCCAGGGGCGAAAGTCGCAGGGGGGGGAGGGAGACTCGGGATCCTCATTCAGCGGTTCCGGGAGGCCCAGGAAGCCCACGGCCTGGCTTGGGCACCGTCACCCCCGCCTGGCCACCATGGTCCCCGGCTGGCTGCTGCTTCTGGCGATGGCTCTGCCCCCGGGTGCCACGGGCGCCAAGGACTGTGTGTTCTGTGAGCTGACCGACTCCACGCAGTGCCCCGGGACCCACATGCGCTGTGGCGAAGACGAGGACTGTTTCACGGGCCAGGGGGTGGCCCCGGGGCTCGGCCTCATCATCAACAAAGGCTGCGTGCAGTCCACTTCCTGCGGCCACGAGGAGCCCGTCACCTACATGGGCGTCACCTACACCCTCACCACCACCTGCTGCTCCGGCCACATGTGTAACAGGGCCCCCGGTCCCGAAAGCGGCCAGCTGGAAGGGGTCACCGCCGCCGGCCTGGCGCTGGGCCTGCTGCTGTTCCCACATTTGCTGTGACCGACCTGAAGGGCAGGGCCTGGGACTGGTCTCCCGGCCTTGCTGCTCCCCGAGCCTCCTGCCTCCACCCCTCCCCCTCATTAAATGCCCAGAGGCCCTGGACAACCTCTCGTGGCCCTGGCCTCATCTGTTCTAGGGCCGTCCACCCGGACCCGGGGGCTCGGCAAAGCGTCCTCAGGCCTGATTTGGTGGCGGGGAGCCACGCTCGGTGGGTTTGACTTGTCCCCCTACTGTATTTCATTGGTTCTAAGACGCATCTCTTCTCGCGTTTTGATCAGGATGCTGCTTTTCATCGGTGGCACCTTAGAGTCGATGAAATAGGGTTCAAAACAAAACAAAACGAAACCAAGAAACCCCGAATAACGACAATAATAAATGACAGCTGATGTTTACGGAAGGCGGCTGATGTGACGTGCCAAGGCACTGTGATCTCGTTGAATGCCCCCAGGCCAAGCCGGGAA